CCTCTCCCTCTCTGGACCCTCTCCCTCTGGACCCTCTCCCTCTCTTGACCCTCTCCCTCTGGACCCTCTCCCTGTGGACCCTCTCCCTGTGGACCCTCTCCCTCTCTGGACCCTCTCCCTCTGGACCCTCTCCCTCTCTTGACCCTCTCCCTCTGGACCCTCTCCCTGTGGACCCTCTCCCTCTCTGGACCCTCTCGCTCTGGACCCTCTCCCCCCTCTCTGGACCCTCTCCCTCTGGACCCTCTCCCTCTCTTGACCCTCTCCCTCTGGACCCTCTCCCTCTGGACCCTCTCCCTGTGGACCCTCTCTCTCTGTGGACCCTCTCCCTCTCTGGACCCTCTCCCTCTGGACCCTCTCCCTCTCTTGACCCTCTCCCTCTGGACCCTCTCCCTGTGGACCCTCTTCCTGTGGACCCTCTCCCTCTCTGGACCCTCTCCCTCTGGACCCTCTCCCTCTCTGGACCCCTCACAGCAGTCGTATGTTGTGTCTTTGATGTTGAGATCGTGTGACATCACCAGGTGGAGCTCAGCTGTGTTTACTCCTGTCAGCCCCGTCACCTTCTGAACCACAACAGACCAGCAACACCTGAGACCAGAGAGACCAGAGAGGGACCAGAGAGAGACCAGAGGGAGACCAGAGAGAGACCAGAGAGAGACCAGAGAGAGACCAGAGAGAGACCAGAGAGAGACCAGAGGGAGACCAGAGAGAGACCAGAGAGAGACCAGAGAGAGACCAGAGGGAGACCAGAGAGAGACCAGAGAGAGACCAGAGAGAGACCAGAGGGAGACCAGAGGGAGACCAGAGAGAGACCAGAGGGAGACCAGAGAGAGACCAGAGAGAGACCAGAGGGAGACCAGAGAGAGACCTGAGAGAGACCAGAGAGAGACCAGAGAGACCAGAGAGAGACCAGAGAGAGACCAGAGAGAGAGACCAGAGAGACACCAGAGAGACACCAGAGAGAGACCAGAGAGAGACCAGAGAGACACCAGAGAGACCAGAGAGACACCAGAGAGACCAGAGAGAGACCAGAGAGACACCAGAGAGAGACCAGAGAGAGACCAGAGAGACACCAGAGAGAGATACCAGAGAGATACATCAGAGAGAGACAGGAGAGAGACCAGAGAGAGACAGGAGAGAGACCAGACAGAGACCAGAGAGAGACCAGAGAGAGACCAGAGAGGGGGACCAGCGAGAGAGACCAGAGAGACACCAGAGAGAGAGAGACCAGAGAGAGACCAGAGAGAGACCAGAGGGAGACTAGAGACAGACCAGAGAGAGACCAGAGAGAGACCAGAGAGAGAGACCAGAGAGAGAGACCAGAGAGAGAGACCAGAGAGAGACCAGAGAGAGACCAGAGAGAGAGACCAGAGAGAGACCAGAGAGAGAGACCAGAGAGAGAGACCAGAGAGACACCAGAGAGAGACCAGAGAGAGACCAGAGAGACACCAGAGAGAGATACCAGAGAGAGACATCAGAGAGAGACAGGAGAGAGACCAGAGAGAGACAGGAGAGAGACCAGACAGAGACCAGAGAGAGACCAGAGAGAGACCAGAGAGAGAGAGACCAGAGAGAGACCAGAGAGAGACCAGAGAGAGACCAGAGAGGGGGACCAGCGAGAGAGACCAGAGAGAGACCAGGAACATGGATCTAAGACATTTTTACAGAGCGCTATTCTAATGTTGTTTAAAGTTACGTCCCCCAGCTTTAAGTCACTAACCTTTTAGTCATATATGTGCAGCTCCTCTCTCTCTCCCACACGACCACATGGTTCTGGAGCGTCCTTCATGGTCCATCCACGTCTGCTCTCTGCCCGAGCTGCAGCTGCAATCCTTAATCAAGATCTGTTCTCTGGACTTTCATTAGATTTAAGGAAGAAGCAGTGATGAAGAGACCAGAGAGAGACCAGAGAGAGACCAGAGAGAGAGACCAGAGAGAGACCAGAGAGAGAGACCAGAGAGAGACCAGAGAGAGACCAGAGAGAGACCAGAGAGAGAGACCAGAGAGAAACCAGAGAGAGACCAGAGAGAGAGACCAGAGAGAGACCTGAGAGAGGGACCAGAGAGAGAGACCAGAAAGAGACCGGAGAGAGACCAGAGAGAGACCAGAGGGAGACCAGAGAGAGAGACCAGAGAGAGAGACCAGAGAGAGACCAGACAGAGACCAGAGAGAGAGACCAGAGAGAGACCAGAGAGAGACCAGAGAGATAGACCAGAGAGAGACCAGAGAGAGAGACCAGAGAGAGACCAGAGAGAGACCAGAGAGAGACCAGAGAGAGACCAGAGAGAGACCAGAGAGAGAGACCAGAGAGAGACCAGAGAGAGACACCAGAGAGAGACACCAGAGAGAGAGACCAGAGAGATATTGACAGTGGTCAGGTCTCAGTACAGAAATCCAGTAGAAATGTCAAAAACATTGTTTTCTTTTCAAGAAATTGCACAGAAATTTGTTTGTCTCAGCTGATGCCTCGTCGCTTGGATCCTGGTCTGACTCTGGTCCAGGTCTAACTCTGGTCCGGGTCTGACTCTGGTCCAGCTCCTTCCACAGAGACCGCACTTTTGAAAGACTTTGAAAACCTCTGAAAAACCAGCCCAGAAGCAGAGAGTCCTCCTGGAGTCAGCACGAAGAGCGAGATCAGCGAGAGTCCGAGATCAGCGAGAGTCCGAGATCAGCGAGAGTCCGAGATCAGAGAGAGTCCGAGACGGGGACGCAGCAGAGAGAGCAGAGAGGCTGTCGTCACAGAAAGTAATAATTATAAAAATAAAAACGATAAAGTAGATCCAGAAGAGAAAACATGCCCCAAAGATGGTCACAGAGAGAGAGAGAGTATCCAAGAAATGTCTTTGACTCATCCACAATCCACCAAGTAGTAGCAGTAGTAACAGTAGTAGTAGTAGTAGTAACAGTAGTAGTAGTAGTAGTAGTAGTAGTAACAGTAGTAGTAGTAGCAGTAACAGTAGTAGCAATAGAGAGCAGTGTGTCTATGACCAGGACAGCAGCACGCTCCTCCTCCTCTCTCTCCTCTCTCTCTCCCTCCTCTCTCCCTCCTCTCTCTCTCTCTCTCTCTCTCTCTCTCCCTCCTCTCTCTCTCTCTCTCTCTCCCTCCTCTCTCTCTCTCCTCTCTCTCTCTCTCTCTCCCTCCTCTCTCTCTCTCTCTCTCTCTCCCTCCTCTCTCTCCCTCCTCTCTCTCTCTCCTCTCTCTCCCTCCTCTCTCTCTCTCTCTCTCCCTCCTCTCCTCTCTCTCTCTCCTCTCTCTCTCTCCTCTCTCTCCCTCCTCTCTCTCCCTCTCTCTCTCCTCCTCTCTCTCTCTCCTCTCTCTCCCTCCTCTCTCTCTCTCTCCTCTCTCTCTCTCTCTCTCTCTCTCTCCTCTCTCTCTCTCCCTCCTCTCTCTCTCCTCCTCTCTCTCTCTCCTCTCTCTCCCTCCTCTCTCTCTCTCTCTCTCCCTCCTCTCTCTCTCTGTCTCTCTCTCTCTCTCTCCCTCCTCTCTCCCTCCTCTCTCTCGCTCCTCTCTCTCTCCCTCCTCTCTCTCTCTTCTTTCTCTCCTCTGACGCTGGGACAAAGCTGCAAACTCACATTTTCCTGAGTCTTTGTTGTGATTTGCAGCTGAGAACTGCCGGGTCACGGGTCAGCAGTCTGAGCAGAGACTTCACACTCACACACCTCCTGCTCATCAGGGGGGCCCCAAGGTTCTGTGTCCCAGGTCTCCTCCTGGTCTCCTCCCTCTGTGTCCTGGGTCTCCTCCTGTTCTCCTCCCTCTGTGTCCTGGGTCTCCTCCGGGTCTCCTCCGGGTCTCCTCCCTCTGTGTCCCGGGTCTCCTCCGGGTCTCCTCCCTCTGTGTCCCAGGTCTCCTCCGGGTCTCCTCCCTCTGTGTCCTGGGTCTCCTCCGGGTCTCCTCCCTCTGTGTCCTGGGTCTCCTCCGGGTCTCCTCCCTCTGTGTCCTGAGTCTCCTCCGGGTCTCCTCCCTCTGTGTCATGGGTCTCCTCCGGGTCTCCTCCCTCTGTGTCCTGGGTCTCCTCCTGGTCTCCTCCCTCTGTGTCCTGGGTCTCCTCCGGGTCTCCTCCCTCTGTGTCCTGGGTCTCCTCCGGGTCTCCTCCCTCTGTGTCCCAGGTCTCCTCCGGGTCTCCTCCCTCTGTGTCCTGGGTCTCCTCCTGGTCTCCTCCCTCTGTGTCCTGGGTCTCCTCCGGGTCTCCTCCCTCTGTGTCCTGAGTCTCCCCCTGGTCTCCTCCCTCTGTGTCCTGGGTCTCCTCCGGGTCTCCTACCTCTGTGTCCTGAGTCTCCTCCGGGTCTCCTCCCTCTGTGTCCTGGGTCTCCTCCGGGTCTCCTCCCTCTGTGTCCTGGGTCTCCTCCGGGTCTCCTCCCTCTGTGTCCTGGGTCTCCCCCTGGTCTCCTCCCTCTGTGTCCTGGGTCTCCTCCGGGTCTCCTCCCTCTGTGTCCTGGGTCTCCTCCGGGTCTCCTCCCTCTGTGTCCTGGGTCTCCTCCGGGTCTCCTCCCTCTGTGTCCTGGGTCTCCTCCTGGTCTCCTCCCTCTGTGTCCTGGGTCTCCTCCGGGTCTCCTCCCTCTGTGTCCTGAGTCTCCCCCTGGTCTCCTCCCTCTGTGTCCTGGGTCTCCTCCGGGTCTCCTCCCTCTGTGTCCCAGGTCTCCTCCGGGTCTCCTCCCTCTGTGTCCTGAGTCTCCTCCGGGTCTCCTCCCTCTGTGTCCATGGGTCTCCCCTGGTCTCCTCCCTCTGTGTCCTGGGTCTCCTCCGGGTCTCCTCCCTCTGTGTCCTGGGTCTCCTCCTGGTCTCCTCCCTCTGTGTCCTGGGTCTCCTCCGGGTCTCCTCCCTCTGTGTCCTGGGTCTCCTCCGGGTCTCCTCCCTCTGTGTCCCAGGTCTCTCCTCCGGGTCTCCTCCCTCTGTGTCCTGGGTCTCCTCCGGTCTCCTCCCTCTGTGTCCTGGGTCTCCTCCGGGTCTCCTCCCTCTGTGTCCTGAGTCTCCTCCGGGTCTCCTCCCTCTGTGTCCTGGGTCTCCTCCGGGTCTCCTACCTCTGTGTCCTGGGTCTCCTCCGGGTCTCCTCCCTCTGTGTCCTGGTCTCCCCCTGGTCTCCTCCCTCTGTGTCCTGGGTCTCCTCCGGGTCTCCTACCTCTGTGTCCTGAGTCTCCTCCGGGTCTCCTCCCTCTGTGTCCTGGGTCTCCTCCGGGTCTCCTCCCTCTGTGTCCTGGGTCTCCTCCGGGTCTCCTCCCTCTGTGTCCTGGGTCTCCCCCTGGTCTCCTCCCTCTGTGTCCTGGGTCTCCTCCGGGTCTCCTCCCTCTGTGTCCTGGGTCTCCTCCGGGTCTCCTCCCTCTGTGTCCTGGGTCTCCTCCGGGTCTCCTCCCTCTGTGTCCTGGGTCTCCTCCGGGTCTCCTCCCTCTGTGTCCTGGGTCTCCTCCGGGTCTCCCGGGTCTCCTCCCTCTGTGTCCTGGGTCTCCCCCTGGTCTCCTCCCTCTGTGTCCTGGGTCTCCTCCGGGTCTCCTCCCTCTGTCTCCTGGGTCTCCTCCGGGTCTCCTCCCTCTGTGTCCTGGGTCTCCTCCGGGTCTCCTCCCTCTGTGTCCTGAGTCTCCTCCGGGTCTCCTCCCTCTGTGTCCTGGGTCTCCTCCGGGTCTCCTCCCTCTGTGTCCTGGGTCTCCTCCGGGTCTCCTCCCTCTGTGTCCTGGGTCTCCTCCGGTCTCCTCCCTCTGTTCCTGGGTCTCCCCCGGGTCTCCTCCCTCTGTGTCCTGGGTCTCCTCCGGGTCTCCTCCCTCTGTGTCCTGGGTCTCCTCCGGGTCTCCTCCCTCTGTGTCCTGGGTCTCCTCCGGGTCTCCTCCCTCTGTGTCCTGAGTCTCCTCCGGGTCTCCTCCCTCTGTGTCCTGAGTCTCCTCCGGGTCTCCTCCGGGTCTCCTCCCTCTGTGTCCTGGGTCTCCCCCTGGTCTCCTCCCTCTGTGTCCTGGGTCTCCTCCGGGTCTCCTACCTCTGTGTCCTGAGTCTCCTCCGGGTCTCCTCCCTCTGTGTCCTGGGTCTCCTCCGGGTCTCCTCCCTCTGTGTCCTGGGTCTCCTCCGGGTCTCCTCCCTCTGTGTCCTGGGTCTCCTCCGGGTCTCCTCCCTCTGTGTCCTGGGTCTCCCCCTGGTCTCCTCCCTCTGTGTCCTGGGTCTCCTCCGGGTCTCCTCCCTCTGTGTCCTGGGTCTCCTCCGGGTCTCCTCCCTCTGTGTCCTGGGTCTCCTCCGGGTCTCCTCCCTCTGTGTCCTGGGTCTCCTCCGGGTCTCCTCCCTCTGTGTCCTGGGTCTCCCCCGGGTCTCCTCCCTCTGTGTCCTGGGTCTCCTCCGGGTCTCCTCCCTCTGTGTCCTGGGTCTCCTCCGGGTCTCCTCCCTCTGTCTCCTGGGTCTCCTCCGGGTCTCCTCCCTCTGTGTCCTGGGTCTCCTCCGGGTCTCCTCCCTCTGTGTCCTGAGTCTCCTCCGGGTCTCCTCCCTCTGTGTCCTGGGTCTCCTCCGGGTCTCCTCCCTCTGTGTCCTGGGTCTCCTCCGGGTCTCCTCCCTCTGTGTCCTGGGTCTCCTCCGGGTCTCCTCCCTCTGTGTCCTGGGTCTCCTCCGGGTCTCCTCCCTCTGAAAGCCGTCTCAAAGCTCAGGTCCTGGTTCATTGGAGCCAACAGGACAACACCGTCTGAAACAGCAGAGATGAACCCAGTGGTCTCTTAACCGGACCCCTCCGGCCCCACTGTGGTCCTGGCGGAGGCCAACCCCCAAAGGACACCCCGGGGAACACGGTCGAACGCCTTCTCCAAGTCCACAAAGCACATGTGGACAGGTTGGGCGAACTCCCATGATCCTCGAGTATCCGTTGGAGAGGATAGAGCTGGTCCAGTGTTCTGCGACCGGGACCAAAACCACACTGCTCTGGATCTGAGATTTGGAGTTTGAGGAGAGCCTCGTTTTTGCCTCTGCAAAAGCCCGGGCCTCGACACGTTAAGCCTGTCCGTACTGGACAGCTGCCTCAGGAGTCCCACCAGACATCATGGCTTGATAGGACTCCTTCTACAGTCTGACAGCATCCTTAATACCAATGTCCAGCACCTTTGTGCTGGAACACAGTGTTCGTGATCAACAAACTGTGACTAGCACAGAAGTCTCTCTCTGGTCTCTCTCTGGTCTCTCTCTCTGGTCTCTCTCTGGTCTCTCTCTCTGGTCTCTCTCTGGTCTCTCTCTGTTCTCTCTCTGGTCTCTCTCTGGTCTCTCTCTGGTCTCTCTCTGGTCTCTCTCTGGTCTCTCTCTGGTCTCTCTCTGGTCTCTCTCTCTGGTCTCTCTCTGGTCTCTCTCTGGTCTCTCTCTGGTCTCCCTCTGGGTTCTCTCTGGTCTCTCTCTGGTCTCTCTCTGGTCTCTCTCTGGTCTCTCTCTGGTCTCTCTCCGGTCTCTCTCCGGTCTCTCTCTGGTCTCTCTCTGGTCTCCCTCTGGGTTCTCTCTGGTCTCTCTCTGGTCTCTCTCTGGTCTCTCTCCGGTCTCTCTCTGGTCTCTCTCTGGTCTCCCTCTGGGTTCTCTCTGGTCTCTCTCTGGTCTCTCTCTGGTCTCTCTCTGGTTTCCCTCTGGTCTCTCTCTGGGTGCTCTCTGGTCTCTCTCTGGTCTCTCTCTGGTCTCTCTCTGGTCTCTCTCTGGTCTCTCTCTGGTCTCTCTCTGGTCTCTCTCTGGTCTCTCTCTGGTCTCGCTCTGGTCTCGCTCTGGTCTCTCTCTGGTCTCTCTCTGGTCTCTCTCTGGTCTCTCTCTGGTGTCTTTCATGGTGACAAAGGGAGGTGTCTGCAGAAGGACACTCTGAATAATGGTCTCGGTTACAAAGAATTAGGTTACAGCTGCAGGGAGAGACCGGGGAGGTCACCGCCACGTAACCACGGCAACGAACCACGCCACGCCGAGGGAACACACTGAAGCTAAAGCTGGGGGACCTGACTTTTGGCCCTACAGGGTCAGAAACAGTATGTCTTCATCGGGTCAGAAAACATGTGTCTTCTGTGAGTCAGCTGATTGGCTGAGAGCTGATTGGCTGAGAGCTGATTGGCTGAGAGCTGATTGGCTGAGAGCTGATTGGCTGAGAGCGAGTCCTCTCTTTGTCATTTGTTTGAAAAAAAAAAAAGATTTTAAGAAGTGACAAGCGTCAAAGATAAATGTGAAATGGGTTATCTCTCTCTGGTCTCTCTCTCCTGTCTCTCTTCCTGGAACAACTCTCTGGTCTCTCTCCCTGGTCTCTCTGCCTGGTCTCTCTCCCTGGGGTCTCTCTCCATGGTCTCTCTCACTAGTCTCTCTCCCTGGTCTCTCTCCCTGGTCTCTCGCCCTGGGGTCTCTCTCACTGGTCTCTCTCCCTGGTCTCTCTCCCTGGTCTCTCTCCCTGGTCTCTCTCCCTGGGGTCTCTCTCACTGGTCTCTCTCTCTGGTCTCTCTCTCTGGTCTCTCTCACTGGTCTCTCTCCCTGGTCTCTCTCCCTGGTCACTCTCTCTGGTCTCTCTCTGGTCTCTTTCCCTGGGGTCTCTCTCCCTGGTCTCTCTCACTGGTCTCTCTCCCTGGGGTCTCTCTCACTGGTCTCTCTCCCTGGGGTCTCTCTCACTGGGGTCTCTCTCACTGGTCTCTCTCCCTGGGGTCTCTCTCCCTGGTCTCTCTCCCTGGTCTCTCTCCCTAGTCTCCCTCCCCGGTCTCTCAGGTCTCAGGTCTGGGTGAGTACGGTGACCCTGAGCCATATTTGCTGATGTGTGTGTTTCGGTGTGAAAACCCGTGGTCAGCGCGTGTCGGCCTCAGACTCAGCGTTTGTGTTTTCTGTGTCAGGTCTGAGTGATGTCGCACTGAGAGCGGCTTTTCACACCGACTCAGGAGAGAGGCCTGTCCTGGTCTCAGGTCTCTGTCCTGAAGTCCTCTCACATTAGTCCTGGTCTCAGGTCTCTGTCCTGAAGTCCTCTCACATTAGTCCTGGTCTCAGGTCTCTGTCCTGAAGTCCTCTCACATTAGTCCTGGTCTCAGGTCTCTGTCCTGAAGTCCTCTCACATTAGTCCTGGTCTCAGGTCTCTGTCCTGAAGTCCTCTCACATTAGTCCTGGTCTCAGGTCTCTGTCCTGAAGTCCTCTCACATTAGTCCTGGTCTCAGGTCTCTGTCCTGAAGTCCTCTCACATTAGTCCTGGTCTCAGGTCTCTGTCCTGAAGTCCTCTCACATTAGTCCTGGTCTCAGGTCTCTGTCCTGAAGTCCTCTCACATTAGTCCTGGTCTCAGGTCTTGTCCTGAAGTCCTCTCACATTAGTCCTGGTCTCAGGTCTCTGTCCTGAAGTCCTCTCACATTAGTCCTGGTCTCAGGTCTCTGTCCTGAAGTCCTCTCACATTAGTCCTGGTCTCAGGTCTCTGTCCTGAAGTCCTCTCACATTAGTCCTGGTCTCAGGTCTCTGTCCTGAAGTCCTCTCACATTAGTCCTGGTCTCAGGTCTCTGTCCTGAAGTCCTCTCACATTAGTCCTGGTCTCAAGTCTCTGTCCTGAAGTCCTCTTACATTAGTCCTGGTCTCAGGTCTCTGTCCTGAAGTCCTCTTACATTAGTCCTGGTCTCAGTCTCTGTCCTGAAGTCCTCTCACATTAGTCCTGGTCTCAGGTCTCTGTCCTGAAGTCCTCTCACATTAGTCCTGGTCTCAGGTCTCTGTCCTGAAGTCCTCTCACATTAGTCCTGGTCTCAGGTCTCTGTCCTGAAGTCCTCTCACATTAGTCCTGGTCTCAGGTCTCTGTCCTGAAGTCCTCTCACATTAGTCCTGGTCTCAGGTCTCTGTCCTGAAGTCCTCTCACATTAGTCCTGGTCTCAGGTCTCTGTCCTGAAGTCCTCTCACATTAGTCCTGGTCTCAGGTCTGTCCTGAAGTCCTCTCACATTAGTCCTGGTCTCAGGTCTCTGTCCTGAAGTCCTCTCACATTAGTCCTGGTCTCAGGTCTCTGTCCTGAAGTCCTCTCACATTAGTCCTGGTCTCAGGTCTCTGTCCTGAAGTCCTCTCACATTAGTCCTGGTCTCAGGTCTCTGTCCTGAAGTCCTCTCACATTAGTCCTGGTCTCAGGTCTCTGTCCTGAAGTCCTCTCACATTAGTCCTGGTCTCAGGTCTCTGTCCTGAAGTCCTCTCACATTAGTCCTGGTCTCAGGTCTCTGTCCTGAAGTCCTCTCACATTAGTCCTGGTCTCAGGTCTCTGTCCTGAAGTCCTCTCACATTAGTCCTGGTCTCAGGTCTCTGTCCTGAAGTCCTCTCACATTAGTCCTGGTCTCAGGTCTCTGTCCTGAAGTCCTCTCACATTAGTCCTGGTCTCAGGTCTCTGTCCTGAAGTCCTCTCACATTAGTCCTGGTTCAGGTCTCTGTCCTGAAGTCCTCTCACATTAGTCCTGGTCTCAGGTCTCTGTCCTGAAGTCCTCTCACATTAGTCCTGGTCTCAGGTCTCTGTCCTGAAGTCCTCTCACATTAGTCCTGGTCTCAGGTCTCTGTCCTGAAGTCCTCTCACATTAGTCCTGGTCTCAGGTCTCTGTCCTGAAGTCCTCTCACATTAGTCCTGGTCTCAGGTCTCTGTCCTGAAGTCCTCTCACATTAGTCCTGGTCTCAGGTCTCTGTCCTGAAGTCCTCTCACATTAGTCCTGGTCTCAGGTCTCTGTCCTGAAGTCCTCTCACATTAGTCCTGGTCTCAGGTCTCTGTCCTGAAGTCCTCTCACATTAGTCCTGGTCTCAGGTCTCTGTCCTGAAGTCCTCTCACATTAGTCCTGGTCTCAGGTCTCTGTCCTGAAGTCCTCTCACATTAGTCCTGGTCTCAGGTCTCTGTCCTGAAGTCCTCTCACATTAGTCCTGGTCTCAGGTCTCTGTCCTGAAGTCCTCTCACATTAGTCCTGGTCTCAGGTCTCTGTCCTGAAGTCCTCTCACATTAGTCCTGGTCTCAGGTCTCTGTCCTGAAGTCCTCTCACATTAGTCCTGGTCTCAGGTCTCTGTCCTGAAGTCCTCTCACATTAGTCCTGGTCTCAGGTCTCTGTCCTGAAGTCCTCTTACATTAGTCCTGGTCTCAGGTCTCTGTCCTGAAGTCCTCTCACATTAGTCCTGGTCTCAGGTCTCTGTCCTGAAGTCCTCTCACATTAGTCCTGGTCTCAGGTCTCTGTCCTGAAGTCCTCTTACATTAGTCCTGGTCTCAAGTCTCTGTCCTGAAGTCCTCTCACATTAGTCCTGGTCTCAGGTCTCTGTCCTGAAGTCCTCTCACATTAGTCCTGGTCTCAGGTCTCTGTCCTGAAGTCCTCTCACATTAGTCCTGGTCTCAGGTCTCTGTCCTGAAGTCCTCTCACATTAGTCCTGGTCTCAGGTCTCTGTCCTGAAGTCCTCTCACATTAGTCCTGGTCTCAGGTCTTTGTCCTGAAGTCCTCTCACATTAGTCCTGGTCTCAGGTCTCTGTCCTGAAGTCCCTCTCACATTAGTCCTGGTCTCAGGTCTCTGTCCTGAAGTCCTCTCACATTAGTCCTGGTCTCAGGTCTCTGTCCTGAAGTCCTCTCACATTAGTCCTGGTCTCAGGTCTCTGTCCTGAAGTCCTCTCACATTAGTCCTGGTCTCAGGTCTCTGTCCTGAAGTCCTCTCACATTAGTCCTGGTCTCAGGTCTCTGTCCTGAAGTCCTCTCACATTAGTCCTGGTCTCAGGTCTCTGTCCTGAAGTCCTCTTACATTAGTCCTGGTCTCAGGTCTCTGTCCTGAAGTCCTCTCACATTAGTCCTGGTCTCAGGTCTCTGTCCTGAAGTCCTCTCACATTAGTCCTGGTCTCAGGTCTCTGTCCTGAAGTCCTCTTACATTAGTCCTGGTCTCAAGTCTCTGTCCTGAAGTCCTCTCACATTAGTCCTGGTCTCAGGTCTCTGTCCTGAAGTCCTCTCACATTAGTCCTGGTCTCAGGTCTCTGTCCTGAAGTCCTCTCACATTAGTCCTGGTCTCAGGTCTCTGTCCTGAAGTCCTCTCACATTAGTCCTGGTCTCAGGTCTCTGTCCTGAAGTCCTCTCACATTAGTCCTGGTCTCAGGTCTCTGTCCTGAAGTCCTCTCACATTAGTCCTGGTCTCAGGTCTCTGTCCTGAAGTCCTCTCACATTAGTCCTGGTCTCAGGTCTCTGTCCTGAAGTCCTCTCACATTAGTCCTGGTCTCAGGTCTCTGTCCTGAAGTCCTCTCACATTAGTCCTGGTCTCAGGTCTCTGTCCTGAAGTCCTCTCACATTAGTCCTGGTCTCAGGTCTCTGTCCTGAAGTCCTCTCACATTAGTCCTGGTCTCAGGTCTCTGTCCTGAAGTCCTCTTACATTAGTCCTGGTCTCAGGTCTCTGTCCTGAAGTCCTCTCACATTAGTCCTGGTCTCAGGTCTCTGTCCTGAAGTCCTCTCACATTAGTCCTGGTCTCAGGTCTCTGTCCTGAAGTCCTCTTACATTAGTCCTGGTCTCAAGTCTCTGTCCTGAAGTCCTCTCACATTAGTCCTGGTCTCAGGTCTCTGTCCTGAAGTCCTCTCACATTAGTCCTGGTCTCAGGTCTCTGTCCTGAAGTCCTCTCACATTAGTCCTGGTCTCAGGTCTCTGTCCTGAAGTCCTCTCACATTAGTCCTGGTCTCAGGTCTCTGTCCTGAAGTCCTCTCACATTAGTCCTGGTCTCAGGTCTCTGAAATAATAAGAAGTAACATTTGTTGGAATTGAAACAGGAAGTTGCGCACACACTCTGTGGTCTGTAAGTTAGGCTACAGGAAGTGTGTCTGTGTGTATCTGTGTGTGCGTGTCTGTGTGTGTGTGCGTGTGTGTGTATCTGTGTGTGTGTGTGTGTGTGTGTATCTGTGTGTGCGTGTCTGTGTGTGTGTGCGTATCTGTGTGTGTGTGTGTGTGTATCTGTGTGTGTGTATCTGTGTATCTGTGTGTGTGTATCTGTGTGTGTGTGTATCTATGCCTTTCTCTCAGTCTCTTCTGTTTCCTCTTCTCTACAAACACACAATGTCCGTGCGATGGTGACGCACAGACATGTCCGACCCGCGCTCATCTTCACCACCTTCATCCTCTTCATCCTCTTCATCATTGTCGTGAATGTGGACCCTCCTGCGGCCCAGACCAGCGCTCCTGAGGGAGACACGGGGACCACCACCCACCGGGACCAGGTGACGAGACCCAGGACTGAGGCTGTAGACCCAGGACTGAGGCTGTAGACCCAGGACTGAGGCTGTAGACCCAGGACTGAGGCTGTAGACCCAGGACTGAGGCTGGACTGAGGCTGTAGACCCAGGACTGAGGCTGTAGACCCAGGACTGAGGCTGTAGACCCAGGACTGAGGCTATAGACCCAGGACTGAGGCTCCAGACCCAGGACTTAGGCCAGGACTGCGGCTGTAGACCCAGGACTGAGGCTGTAGACCCAGGACTGAGGCTGTAGACCCAGGACTGCGGCTGTAGACCCAGGACTGCGGCTGTAGACCAGGACTGAGGCTGTAGACCCAGGACTGAGGCTGTAGACCCAGAGCTGAGACTGTAGACCCAGGACTGAGACTGTAGACCCAGGACTGAGGCTGTAGACCCAGGACTGAGGCTGTAGACCCAGGACTGAGGCTGTAGACCCAGGACTGAGACTGTAGACCCAGGACTGAGGCTGTAGACCCAGGACTGAGGCTGTAGACCCAGGACTGAGACTGTAGACCCAGGACTGAGGCCAGAGAAGTATTGAGACTATTTTATTTCTGGTTCTGTTTTGATCCAAACTAACAGTGCAGTTCTCAGACTCCTCCAGCAGAGGGCTCCACATGCAGCCTCTCTGTCTTCATACAGAGGACTCCGTCTCTGTACCTGTGCTCTCTGTGACGTGTACCTGTGCTCTCTGTGACGTGTACCTGTGTCCTCTGTGACGTGTACCTGTGCTCTCTGTACCTGTGTCCTCTGTGACGTGTACCTATGCTCTCTGTACCTGTGTCCTCTGTGACGTGTACCTACGCTCTCTGTACCTGTGTCCTCTGTGACGTGTACCTGTGCTCTCTGTACCTGTGTCCTCTGTACCTGTGTCCCATGTGATGTGTACCTGTGTCCTCTGTACCTGTGTCCTCTGTGATGTGTACCTGTGTCCTCTGTACCTGTGTCCTCTGTGATGTGTACCTGTGTCCTCTGTACCTGTGTCATCTGTACCTGTCTTGTCTGTGACGTGTACCTGTGCTCTCTGTACCTGTGTCCTCTGTGACGTGTACCTGTGTCCTCTGTACCTGTGTCACCTGTACCTGTGTCCTCTGTGACGTGTACCTGTGTCCTCTGTACCTGTGTCACCTGTACCTGTGTCCTCTGTGACGTGTACCTGTGTCCTCTGTACCTGTGTCACCTGTACCTGTGTCCTCTGTGACGTGTACCTGTGCTCTCTGTACCTGTGTCCTCTGTGACGTGTACCTGTGCTCTCTGTACCTGTGTCCTCTGTGACGTGTACCTGTGCTCTCTGTACCTGTGTCCTCTGTGACGTGTACCTGTGTCCTCTGTACCTGTGTCAACTGTACCTGTGTCCTCTGTGACGTGTACCTGTGTCACCTGTACCTGTGTCCTCTGTGACGTGTACCTGTGCTCTCTGTACCTGTGTCCTCTGTGACGTGTACCTGTGCTCTCTGTACCTGTGTCCTCTGTGACGTGTACCTGTGCGCTCTGTACCTGTGTCCTCTGTGACGTGTACCTGTGCTCTCTGTACCTGTGTCCTCTGTGACGTGTACCTGTGCTCTCTGTGCCTGTGTCCTCTGTGACGTGTACCTGTGCTCTCTGTGCCTGTGTCCTCTGTGACGTGTACCTGTGCTCTCTGTGCCTGTGTCCTCTGTGACGTGTACCTGTGCTCTCTGTGCCTGTGTCCTCTGTGACGTGTACCTGTGCTCTCTGTGCCTGTGTCCTCTGTGACGTGTACCTGTGTCCTCTGTACCTGTGTCCTCTGTACCTGTGTCATCTGTACCTGTGTCCTCTGTGACGTGTACCTGTGCTCTCTGTACCTGTGCTCTCTGTACCTGTGTCCTCTGTACCTGTGCTCTCTGTACCTGTGCTCTCTGTACCTGTGTCCTCTGTGACGTGTACCTGTGCTCTCTGTACCTGTGTCCTCTGTGACGTGTACCTGTGTCCTCTGTACCTGTGTCACCTGTACCTGTGTCCTCTGTGACGTGTACCTGTGTCCTCTGTACCTGTGTCACCTGTACCTGTGTCCTCTGTGACGTGTACCTGTGTCCTCTGTACCTGTGTCACCTGTACCTGTGTCCTCTGTGACGTGTACCTGTGCTCTCTGTACCTGTGTCCTCTGTGACGTGTACCTGTGCTCTCTGTACCTGTGTCCTCTGTGACGTGTACCTGTGCTCTCTGTACCTGTGTCCTCTGTGACGTGTACCTGTGTCCTCTTACCTGTGTCAACTGTACCTGTGTCCTCTGTGACGTGTACCTGTGTCACCTGTACCTGTGTCCTCTGTGACGTGTACCTGTGCTCTCTGTACCTGTGTCCTCTGTGACGTGTACCTGTGCTCTCTGTACCTGTGTCCTCTGTGACGTGTACCTGTGCGCTCTGTACCTGTGTCCTCTGTGACGTGTACCTGTGCTCTCTGTACCTGTGTCCTCTGTGACGTGTACCTGTGCTCTCTGTACCTGTGTCCTCTGTGACGTGTACCTGTGCTCTCTGTACCTGTGTCCTCTGTGACGTGTACCTGTGCTCTCTGTGCCTGTGTCCTCTGTGACGTGTACCTGTGTCCTCTGTACCTGTGTCCTCTGTACCTGTGTCATCTGTACCTGTGTCCTCTGTGACGTGTACCTGTGCTCTCTGTACCTGTGCTCTCTGTACCTGTGTCCTCTGTACCTGTGCTCTCTGTACCTGTGTCCTCTGTACCTGTGCTCTCTGTACCTGTGCTCTCTGTACCTGTGTCCTCTGTGACGTGTACCTGTGCTCTCTGTACCTGTGTCCCAGTCTCTGCAGCTGGAGGACATTTTCATCGCTGTGAAAACCAGCGGCAGGTTTCACCAGAGCAGACTGAGACTACTGCTGAAGACCTGGATCTCCCTCACCAGAGACCATGTGAGTCCAGAGAGACCAGAGACCATGTGAGTCCAGAGAGACCAGAGACCATGTGAGTCCAGAGAGACCAGAGACCATGTGAGTCCAGAGAGACCAGAGACCATGTGAGTCCAGAGAGACCAGAGACCATGTGAGTCCAGAGAGACCAGAGACCATGTGAGTCCAGAGAGACCAGAGACCATGTGAGTCCAGAGAGACCAGAGACCATGTGAGTCCAGAGAGACCAGAGACCATGTGAGTCCAGAGAGACCAGAGACCATGTGAGTCCAGAGAGACCAGAGACCATGTGAGTCCAGAGAGACCAGTGACCATGTGAGTCCAGAGAGACCAGAGACCATGTGAGTCCAGAGAGACCAGAGACCATGTGAGTCCAGAGAGACCAGAGACCATGTGAGTCCAGAGAGACAGAGAGGCCAGAGACCAGGACAGAGAGCCAAGACCAGAGAGTCCAGGACAGAGACTGAGTCCAGAGAGACCAGAGACCATGTGAGTCCAGAGAGACCAGAGACCATGTGAGTCCAGAGAGACCAGAGACCATGTGAGTCCAGAGAGACCCAGAGACCATGTGAGTCCAGAGAGACCAGAGACCATGTGAGTCCAGAGAGACCAGAGACCATGTGAGTCCAGAGAGACCAGAGACCATGTGAGTCCAGGAGACCAGAGACCATGTGAGTCCAGAGAGACCAGAGACCATGTGAGTCCAGAGAGACCAGAGACCATGTGAGTCCAGAGAGACCAGAGACCATGGTCCAGAGAGACCAGAGACATGTGAGTCCAGAGCCAGAGACCATGTGAGACCATGTGAGTCCAGAGAGACCAGAGACCATGTGAGTCCAGAGAGACCAGAGACCATGTGAGTCCAGAGAGACCAGAGACCATGTGAGTCCAGAGAGACCAGAGACCATGTGAGTCCAGAGAGACCAGAGACCATGTGAGTCCAGAGAGACCAGAGACCAGAGTCCAGACCGAGACCATGTGAGTCCAGAGAGACCAGAGACCATGTGAGTCCAGAGAGACCAGAGAGACCAGAGACCATGTGAGTCCAGAGAGACCAGAGACCATGTGAGTCCAGAGAGACCAGAGAGACCAGAGACCATGTGAGTCCAGAGAGACCAGAGACCATGTGAGTCCAGAGAGACCAGACCAGAGACCATGTGAGTCCAGAGAGACCAGAGAGACCAGAGACCATGTGAGTCCAGAGAGACCAGAGACCATGTGAGTCCAGAGAGACCAGAGACCATGTGAGTCCAGAGAGACCAGAGAGACCATGTGAGTCCAGAGACCAGAGAGACCAGAGACCATGTGAGTCCAGAGAGACCAGAGACCATGTGAGTCCAGAGAGACCAGAGAGACCAGAGACCATGTGAGTCAGAGAGAGAGACCAGAGAGACCAGAGACCATGTGAGTCCAGAGAGACCAGAGACCATGTGAGTCCAGAGAGACCAGAGAGACCATGTGAGTCCAGAGAGACCAGAGACCATGTGAGTCCAGAGAGACCAGAGAGACCAGAGACCATGTGAGTCCAGAGAGACCAGAGAGAGACCATGTGAGTCCAGAGAGACCAGAGAGACCAGAGACCATGTGAGACCAGAGTCCAGAGAGACCAGATCTTTTATCTGACACTAGCAGACGTCTACACAAACACACACATACACACACACAGACACACTCACACACAGACACACACTAACACACAGACACACACACAGATATACAGACACCCATATACACACACATATGGGCACACACAAACAGACACACTCACACTCACACGCATATACACAGACACACAAACAGACACAGTCACACACACACACACACATATACACAGACACACAAACAGACAGACACACACACACACACGCATATAAACAGACACACTCACACACACACGCATATACACAGACACACAAACAGACACACTCACACACACACACACACACATATACACAGACACACTAACAGACACACTCACACACACGCATATACACAGACACACAAACAGACACACACACACACACACACATAAACACAGACACACTAACAGACACACTCACACACACACACACACGCACATACACAGACACACAAACAGACACACTCACACACACACACACATACACAGACACACAAACAGACACACTCAGATACAGATATACAGACACACATATACACACACATATACACACACATATACACACACATATACACACACACATACAGACACTATCTTTAGCATAATAAAGAAGCAAGTATGTTAGCATTTTAGCATGTTAACAGCATGTTAGCATGTTAGCATCCATGTTAGCAGCAAATGCACGACATGAAGCCAGGTGTTTGTTAGTGTCAGTACACAGGTGTAGTCACTTCAAAGTCACGTCTGTAAAGTCACGTCTGTAAAGTCAGGTCTCTGTAAAGTCACGTCTGTAAAGTCACGTCTCTGTAAAGTCACGTCTGTAAAGTCAGGTCTCTGTAAAGTCAGGTCTCTGTAAAGTCAGATCTCTGTAAAGTCACTCTCTGTAAAGTCACTCTCTGTAAAGTCACTCTCTGTAAAGTCACGTCTCTGTAAAGTCACGTCTCTGTAAAGTCACGTCTCTGTAAAGTCACGTCTCTGTAAAGTCAGGTTTCTGTAAAGTCAGGCCTCTGTAAAGTCAGGTCTCTGTAAAGTTAGGTCTCTGTAAAGTCACGTCTCTGTAAAGTCAGATCTCTGTAAAGTCACGTCTCTGTAAAGTCACGTCTCTGTAAAGTCACGTCTCTGTAAAGTCACGTCTCTGTAAAGTCAGGTTTCTGTAAAGTCAGGCCTCTGTAAAGTCAAGTCTCTGTAAAGTTAGGTCTCTGTAAAGTCAGGTCTCTGTAAAGTCAGGTCTCTGTAAAGTCAGGTCTCTGTAAAGTCAGGTCTCTGTAAAGTCAGGTCTCTGTAAAGTCAGGTCTCTGTAAAGTCAGGTCTCTGTAAAGTCAGGTCTCTGTAAAGTCAGATCTCTGTAAAGTCACGTCTCTGTAAAGTCAAGTCTCTGTAAAGTCACGTCTCTCTAAAGTCAAGTCTCTGTAAAGTCAGATCTCTGTAAAGTCACGTCTCTGTAAAGTCAAGTCTCTGTAAAGTCAGATCTCTGTAAAGTCACGTCTCTGTAAAGTCACTCTCTGTAAAGTCAGGTCTCTGTAAAGTCACTCTCTGTAAAGTCAGAACTCTTCAAAGTCACGTCCCTCAGCTTTAAAACTCTCCCGGTCACGTGGAGGTGTCAGGTTTTAACTCTATATTTAAAACACACAGAGGCTGAAAGTGAAAGTAAAACTGAGACTTGTTTTGGTGGAGAGAGAGACCAGAGAGAGAGACCAGAGAGAAAGAGAGACCAGAGAGAGAGACCAGAGAGAGACCAGAGAGAAAGAGAGAGAGAGACCAGAGAGAGACCATAGAGAGAGGCCAGAGAGAGAGAGACCAGAGAGAGAGAGAGAGAGACCAGAGAGAAAGAGAGACCAGAGAGAAAGAGAGACCAGAGAGAGAGAGACCAGAGAGAGAGAGAGACCAGAGAGAGACCATAGAGAGAGGCCAGAGAGAGAGAGACCATAGAGAGAGGCCAGAGAGAGAGAGACCATAGAGAGAGAGACCAGAGAGAGACCAGAGAGAGAGAGACCAGAGAGAGAGAGACCAGAGAGAGACCAGAGAGAGACCAGAGAGACCAGAGAGAGACCAGAGAGAGAGAGACCAGAGAGAGACCAGAGAGAGAGAGACCAGAGAGAGAGACCAGAGAGAGACCAGAGAGAGAGACCAGAGAGAGAGAGACCAGAGAGAGAAACCTCTCTGAGCAGCTCAGTTACATAACTCTCGACCCTCGTTCTGAAGAACTTTCTTCGTTTATTTATTTTTATTTCCGGGATGAGTCATGCGGTTGCGTCTCCCACGGCAACCACACACCGCTCCATTCACAAAAATGCTAGCAGTGAGACCCGCTTCAGACCTGGTTCAGTCCTGGGTCTGACCTGGTTCAGATCTGGTTCAGACCTGGTTCAGACCTGGTCCCTGATTCCAAAGTGTTGAACCTGAATTAGTTCATAAAATAGATGTATTCTGCAATTTACTCTCATTGTAAACACATATAGATGATGATGAGAAGGAGGTCTAAACCAAGTCTAAACCAGGTCTAAACCAGGTCTAAACCAGGTCTAAACCAGGTCCAAACCAGGTCTTAAAGCGGTCTTAGCCCGGACTGGACCAGGCCTGGTAAGCGTTGGGGGGAGGTGCTGCTGTTATGATGTCATAGCAGCGGAGGAAAAAGTGGGTCAGACTCGTTGCGGTATCCACGGCGACGGCATCAGTAGGTCACAGCAGCAGCAGCAGTGTCAGTGATGCATCGTGGGAAATGTAGTCACATTCTCTGCTCTCTCTCTCTTTTTAGACCCTCTTTAGTCTCTCTCTGGTCTCTCTCTGCTCTGGTCTCTCCCTGGTCTCTCTCTCTCTGGTCTCTTTCTCCTCCTCTCTCTCCTCCCTCTCTCCTCCCTCTCTGCTCTCTCTCACTCTCTCTTACCTCCTCTCTCTCGCCTCTTCCTATCTCCTCCCTCTATCTCCCTTCTCTCTATCACCTCTCTCCTCCCTCTTTCTCACCTCCTCTCCTTCCTCTCTTCTCCCTCTCTTGCCTCCATTCTCTTCCTTCTCTCTGCTCTCTCCTCCCTCTCTCTTTCCTCCTCTCTCTTCCCTCACTCTCACCTCCTCTCTCCTCCCTCTTTCCTCCCTCTCTCACCTCCTCTCTCTTCCTTCTTTCTCTCTCTCTCCTCCTACTCTCACCTCCTCTTTCCTCTCTCTCTCTCCTCTCTCCGTCCTCTCTCACCTCCTCTCTCCTCCCTCTCTGCTCTCTCTCTCTCTCCTCCCACTCTCACCTCCTCTCTCACCTCCTCTCTCCTCTCTCTGTCTCCTCTCTCCTCCCTCTCTCACCTCCTCTCTCTCTCCTCTCTCCTCCCTCTCTCACTTCCTCTCTCCTCCCTCTCTCTGCAGATCTCTCCTCCCCTCATGCTGCTCTGTGGTGGGTCCTGACTCCTGATTGGCTGGCTGGCTGCAGAAGGCGGGCCCTGTAGCTGTCCGTCACCATGCCTCTGCTGAACTTGGCCCCTCCCTGCTCTGGGGACAACTGTTCGTCTCAGAGCGAGTCCAAGGCCTACTGTTACTCCGCTCGTATCCGCAGCACCGTGCTGCAGGGGCTGCCCTTCGGGGGGGTCCCCACGGTCCTGGCCCTGGACTTCATGTGCTTCCTGGTACGTCCAACTACACCTCTCTGGTCTCACTCTGGTCCCACTCTGGTCTCTCTCTCTGGTCTCTCTCTCTGCTCGCTCTCTGGTCTATCTCTGGTCTCTTTCTGGTCTCTCTCTGGTCTCTCTCTGGTCTCTCTCTGGTCTCTCTCCTGGGTGTCTCTTTCTAGTCTCTCCCTGGTCTCTCTCTGGTCTCTTTCTGGTCTCTCTCTGCTCGCTCTCTGGTCTATCTCTGGTCTCTTTCTGGTCTCTCTCTGGTTTCTCTCTGGTCTCTCTCTAGTCTCTCTCTGGTCTCTCTCCTGGGTGTCTCTTTCTAGTCTCTCCCTGGTCTCTCTCTGGTCTCTCTCTGGTCTCTCTCTCTGGTCTCTCTCTGGTCTCTCTCCTGGGTGTCTCTTTCTAGTCTCTCCCTGGTCTCTCACATGGTTTCCCTGCTTTCAGGTGCTGCTGTTTGTGTTTTCCATCCTCCGGAAAGTTGCCTGGGATTATGGACGTCTGGCTCTGGTCACGGACGCAGACAGGTGAGTGTGACATCACCACAGTGTTACATCACCACAGTGTTACATCACCACCGTGTGACATCACCACAGTGTGACATCACCAGTGTTAGCCTTAATGCAGAAGACACCGATTTTAACATAAGCTAGAGCCAATTTACTTATATGGGCATTTGTTCTGATAGGGGTAGCTTCAGGGGCCTTGTTGCTAAGACGGTTGCTAAGGCCGTTACTAAGACAGTTGCTAAGATGGTTGCTAAGGCCGTTACTAAGACGGTGGCTAAGGCCTTTACTAAGACTGGTGCTAAGATGGTTGCTAGGCCATTGCTAAGGCCTTTACTAAGACGGTTGCTATGGCCGTTGTTAAGGCCGTTACTAAGACGGTTGCTATGGCCGTTGTTAAGGCCGTTACTAAGACGGTTGCTATGGCCGTTGCTAAGGCCGTTACTAAGACGGTTGCTAAGGCCGTTACTAAGACGGTTGCCAAGACGGTTGCCAAGATGGCGGTGAGGTGCTCATAGTATAATATAACATTTATTCAACAGAAAGACCAGGAACGCCCAGAATAGAAAAGTGTGTTAAAGTCCACAGGTTGGTAACCATGGTAACCATAGACAAAGGCAGTGACCAGGAACTTTTATTCATTTTATTAGTTTGAAAAGTGTAGTTTTGGTTTTATCACTGGCATAATGACTGCACTTTTCTCATCAAGTCACACATGTAGGACATATAGAGGGGGTTAGCTGTTAGCATTAGCTGTTAGCGTTAGCTGTTAGCTGTTAGCGTTAGCTGTTAGCATTAGCTGTAGTCAACAGCCATGATGCTTTCAGCGTGGTGAAGATAAAACCTACTGTCATAGTGCAGAACTGGAAAAAGATAGATTATTTACTTTACACCATGAGCAGGACCAGAGAGAGAGACCAGAGAGAGACCAGAGAGAGACCAGAGAGGGACCAGAGAGAGACCAGAGAGAGACCAGAGAGAGACCAGAGAGAGACCAGAGAGAGACCAGAGAGAGAGAGACCAGAGAGAGACCAGAGAGAGACCAGAGAGAGAGAGAGACCAGAGAGACCAGTTAGAGACCTGTTATAGACCAGTATGAGACCAGTCTAAAGACCAGTTTAAACCCGTGAGGAGCCCAGACCAAAGCCCCGCTCAGACCCACCGTTAGACCGGTCCCGGGAGCAGCATGGAGGCAGACCCCAGACGGGTCCTGGCCGTGTCCATCAGTAAACTGTACTCCTCCCGGTCCCAGCGCGGCGGCCTGAAGCTCCACCGCAGCCTCCTGCTGTCTCTGCTGATGAGGACCGCCCGGGACCTGTACCACGCCACGGCCCCCGCGGAGCCCAGCACCGAGCCCAGCACCGAGCCCAGCACCGAGCGGGCCATGGAGGCGATGGAGGCGGAAGTCCCGAAGCTCAGGGCCCGGGGGAGCGAGGACAAGGAGAACCAGAGCCCCAAGCGGCCCCTGAAGCGCCCGGGGAAGGCTGCAGCTGTGCCCGACTTCCTCCCGGAGAAACGAGCCCGTCTGGAGCGGGACGAGGCGACGCGGAGCCCGGGGGCTGGTCCCGGGGCTGCGTGTCGGAGCCTGGGCCCGTTACCGTTACTCACCACCTCCGTGATCCCCGCGTTCTGAGGAGAGCTCCGGAGGACAGACGAGAGCTAACGGGAATACGGCTGTTTCCCGGTGTCCAGGAGGAGAGCCACCCCCAGCGCGGTCTGCGGAGGACAGGCTGCCGGGCCCAGAGCACTTCCGCCCGGGGACAAACGGCGCGAGCCCCGGGGACAAACGGCGCGAGCCCCGGGGACAAACGGCGCGAACCCCGGGGACAAACGGCGCGAGCCCCGGGGACAAACGGCGCGAGCCCCGGGGACAAACGGCGCGAGCCCCGGGGACAAACGGCGCGAACCCCGGGGACAAACGGCGCGAACCCCGGGGACAAACGGCGCGAGCCCCGGGGAGACCTGGAGAAGAAACTACAAAATGGCGACGAAACTTTGAGAAACGGTCGTTGAAGTTTAAACAGTTATGAACCACTTTAGACCAGTTTAGACTCTTCTCAGCAGATAAAGGTTTTATAGTCTATGATGTTATGTAAGTGCCAGGTCTATAAACATGTGTTTAAGTATAATGTTTAAGTATAATGTTTAAGTATAATGTTTAAGTATAATGTTTAAGTATAATGTTTAAGTATAATGTTTAAGTATAATGTTTAAGTATGTTGTTAAAGTGGACCGTCTGCTTCACAATAACGTGTTGTCAAAGTGGACCGTCTGCTTCACAATAACGTGTTGTCAAAGTGGACCGTCTGCTTCACAATAACGTGTTGTCAAAGTGGACCGTCTGCTTCACAATAACGTGTTGTCAAAGTGGACCGTCTGCTTCACAATAACGTGTTGTCAAAGTGGACCGTCTGCTTCACAATAACGTGTTTCTGAGACTTGTTCTAACTCATGGATCACTTTGGGATCAGCTGCTGTTGTGAATGTGGTCAGAAACAGGGCGATCAGCGGACTTTGTTGCCCTTTGTTTTGTTCGTGACTCAGTGACGGAAACAGTGACTCATAAAAACAAGACTTTGAAACTCACTGATGATGAAGAAGAGGATGAAGAAGAGGCTAAAGGAGGATGAAGAAGCTCTTACACGAGTGGATCACAGACCAAATGTGCTGTCAGAATTTAAACTATATATACATATATATGTACATGTGTGTGTCTCGTGTACACGTGTGTGAGTTATATAATGTCTTTGCATTAAAATGCCTTTGACTTCACCTGGTCATGACTTCACCTGGTCCTTTGTATAAAACTGGTTGAATGTATTTGGACCAATCAGGAGAGTTGGAAAACACGTGAAACCAGGAAGTTCTTTGATGACGTCACACATAGTTTAAAAATAAATCCAGATTTTTCAGACATCCGTGTTCATTACACAATGACATGTGACATCACAACACCTGTGGTGATGTCATCAGTGTTCGACCAGGAAGCAGCGTCTACCACATATGGTTTACCATGGGATTCAGTGTTTTAATACCATGGATCTATTATAATATTGTTTAATACCAGCTGAGGAGTCTCAGTGTGTGTGTGTGTCTGTGTGTGTTTGTGTGTGTGTAAGAGTTTGTGTCTGTCTGTGTTTGTGTGTGTTTAAGAGTTTGTGTGTGTGTGTCGGTGTGTGTGTGTTTGTGTGTGTTTGTGTGCACTCGTGGGGACTTTTGCTGAATGTTGCGACACACTTTTTTTGGGGAAGTCAGAGGAACCGGTCGGTCGCTGGTTCCTGGTAACAGCACAATGTGTCATCAGCACGAGTCTGAGACAAATGGGAAATTCCAGAGACCAGAAAGAGACCAGAGAGAGACCTGAGAAACACCAGAGAGAGACCCAAGAGAGACCAGAGAGAGACCAGAGAGAGACCAGAGGGAGACCAGAGAGAGACCAGAGAGAGACCAGAGAGAGAGAGACCAGAGAGAGACCAGAGAGAGAGACCAGAGAGAGACCAGGGAGAGACCAGAGAGAGAGAGACCAGAGAGAGAGAGACCAGAGAGAGACCAGGGAGAGACCAGAGAGAGAGAGACCAGAGAGAGACCAGAGAGAGACCAGGGAGAGACCAGAGAGAGAGAGACCAGAGAGAGACCAGAGAGAGACCAGAGAGAGACCAGAGAGAGAGAGACCAGAGAGAGAGAGAGAGAGAGACCAGAGAGAGACCAGAGAGAGACAGGAGACCAGAGAGAGAGAGAGAGAGACCAGAGAGAGACCAGAGAGAGACCAGAGAGAGAGAGACCGAGAGAGAGAGACCAGAGAGAGAGAGACCAGAGAGAGACCAGAGAGAGACCAGAGAGAGACCAGAGAGAGACCAGAGAGAGAGAAACCAGAGAGAGATGTGACCGTTCCTGTTTAAAATAATGTGACATTTTGATAAATGAGCTTTTGTTTCTTAATTGAGCCGATAAAGTAACTTCAAGTAATAGTTCTTATTACTACACTACTTTCTCCTCCTCCTCTTTCTCCTCCTCCTCCTCCTCCTTTTTCTCCTCCTCCTCTCTCATTTCTCATAATACTCTGTTCTGATCCTGGTTTGACTGCCTCAGTGTGAGGAATGTAAACAGGAAGCTGTCGCAGCCTGACCTTATATGGACACGACAGAGAAACACTAACTCTTCAAACCCACGTTTCTATAGTTCTGGTTCTACAGTATCTCTCTCTGGTCTCTCTCTGGTCTCTCTCTCTGGTCTCTCTCTGGTCTCTCTCTGGTCTCTCTCTCTGGTCTCTCTCTGGTCTCTCTCTGGTCTCTCTCTGGTCTTTCTCTGGTCTCTCTCTGGTCTTTCTCTGGTCTCTCTCTGGTCTCTCTCTGGTCTCTCGGGTCTCTCTCTGGTCTCTCTCTGGTCTCTCTCTGGTCTTTCTCTGGTCACTCTCTGGTCTCTCGGGTTTCTCTCTGGTCTCTCTGTGGTCTTTCTCTGGTCTCTCTCTGGTCCCTCTCTGGTCTCTCTCTCTGGTCTCTCTCTGGTCCCTCTCTGGTCTCTCGGGTTTCTCTCTGGTCTCTCTCTGGTCTCTCTCTCTGGTCTCTCTCTGGTCTCTCTCTGGTCTCTCTCTGGTCTCTCTCTGGTCTTTCTCTGGTCTTTCTCTGGTCACTCTCTGGTCTCTCGGGTCTCTCTCTGGTCCCTCTCTGGTCTCTCGGGTCTCTCTCTGGTCTCTCTCTGGTCTCTCTCTGGTCTTTCTCTGGTCACTCTCTGGTCTCTCTCTGGTCTCTCTCTGGTCTCTCTCTGGTCTCTCTCTGGTCCCTCTCTGGTCTCTCGGGTCTCTCTCTGGTCTCTCTCTGGTCTCTCTCTGGTCACTCTCTGGTCTCTCGGGTCTCTCTCTGGTCTCTCTCTGGTCTCTCTCTGGTCTTTCTCTGGTCACTCTCTGGTCTCTCGGGTCTCTCTCTGGTCTCTCTCTGGTCTCTCTCTGGTCTTTCTCTCTGGTCTCTCTCTCTGGTCTCTCTCTGGTCTCTCTCTGGTCTCTCTCTCTCTCAGAGAGAGAGACCAGAGAGAGACCAGAGAGAGAGACCAGAGAGAGACCAGAGAGAGACCAGAGAGAGAGACCAGAGAGAGAGACCAGAGAGAGACCAGAGAGAGAGACCAGAGAGAGACCAGAGAGAGACCAGAGAGAGAGACCAGAGAGAAAGACCAGAGAGAGACCAGAGAGAGAGAGACCAGAGAGAAAGACCAGAGAGAGACCAGAGAGAGACCAGAGAGAGACCCGAGAGACCAGAGAGTGACCAGAGAAAGACCAGAGAGAGACCAGAGAGAGACCAGAGAGAGACCAGAGAGAGAGAGAGACCAGAGAGAGAGACCAGAGAGAGAGACCAGATAGAGACCAGAGAGAGAGAGACCAGAGAGAGAGAGACTAGAGAGAGAGACCAGAGAAAGAGACCAGAGAGAGAGAGACCAGAGAGAGAGAGACCAGAGAGACCAGAGAGAGAGACCAGAGAGAGAGACCAGAAAGAGAGACCAGAGAGACAGACTAGAGAGAGACCAGAGAGACCAGAGAGAGAGAGCAGAGAGAGAGACCAGAGAGAGAGACCAGAGAGAGACCAGAGAGAGGGACCAGAGAGAGACCAGAGAGAGTCAGAATGTGCCTCTTTGGGCTCAAGACAGTAAAAACAGAATAAAAACAGAATAAACACGATGGTTGAATGCATTCTCATTTATTGTTTGGGTCGAGTTACAAAACGGGGCTGAAGCCTCACGGTTTTCACCTTTTCTGTTTTTTTGGTTTGA